TTTCGAAGAATTGCCGCTCAAAAACCTTTCGACAGGTGTCAGGATGGCACTTTCTACAGCCGCCCTCCAGCAATAGTTTCCTCCAGCCTGCAGGTGACGGAAATTCGACAGTGGCCCGCCCACGGTTCGAAAAATGCCTCCAATTTTCCATTCTCCTGGACTGCTCCCTGACAGCCGTTGCCTGTTTGTCCGTATGTGGTCAACAGTTGCTGTCAAAAACCGCGTCGACATCTGGTCCACTTGCGCGCACAAATTCATTTGTCCGTATGTGGTCAACAGTTGCTGTCAAAAACCGCGTCGACATCTGGTCCACTTGCGCGCACAAATTCATCCCTTAACAAAAACTCCCGACAGGCCACCGACTTCGCCACACAGCACCTGTCCAAAGGCTGAGTCGACTTGGCAACTTTCGACAACCTCGCCCCTCGACAGGCTATGTGGCGCAGGGGGGCTAAACTGTCGACGACCCGACTGTCGAAAATTTAATGACACCTGTCAAAAATTTTCGACATTCGACAGCCTGTGGCGAGCCTCTAAGGGCATAGGGCCACTACTCACCAAACGCACAAAAGACAAAAATGATGGCGGTGCATCTTTCCATGTTCCAGCGGAGGATTCTTTGGGCCTCGCCACACCTATCCCGAAAACGGGAAAATGTTCGAGAGCGCTCTCGAACTCGGGAAATCACAAAAAACGGTTTGAGAGGCCTCATCGCCGCATTGCGCTCTCGAAGGGGGCGCTCTCCACTGTGTCAGAAAAGAACGGCGTTTTTCGAGAGTGCAGTGTGGCGGTGCAAGGGCCTTGCTCCACTACTCACCAAATGTGCAAAATGAGAATGAATCTTCTGCTAGAGGCTCGCCACACAGGCTGTCGAATGTCGAAAATTTTTGACAGGTGTCAGAAAATTTTCGACAGTCGGGCCGTCGACAGTTTCGCCCCCCTTTGCCACATAGCCTGTCGAGGGGCGAGGTTGTCGAAAGTTGCCAAGTCGACTCAGCCTTTCGACAGGTGATGTGTGGCGAAGGCGGTGGCCTGTCGGGAGTTGTTACAGGGATGAATTTGTGCGCGCAAGTGGACCAGATGTCCATGCCGTTTTCGACAGCAACTGTTGACTACATATGGACAAACAGGCAACAGCTGTCAGGGAGCAGTCCAGGAGAATGGAAAATGGGCCACTGTCGTTTCCGTCACCTGCAGGCTGGAGGAAACGGTTGCTGGAGGGCGGCTGTCGAAAGTGCCATCCTGACACCTGTCGAAAGTTTTTTGAGCGGCAATTCTTCGAAAGTCTGTGCGGCGATGCAAAATTGTCGAAAACCGGGTTTTTGACAGCCTGTGTGGCGAGCCTCCTAGACGATGAAAAGATACACCGCCATATTTTTTGTCCTTTGTGCATGTGGTGAGTGGTGGACCGAGGCCTCAGTTCGAGAGTTCTCTCGAACCAAACATCACAAAACGCTTGTCCATCGCGGCACACTCTCGAAATTCGGGCCGAAATCGGGTTCGCCTCGGACCGCTCTCCAAAACGGCCTCTTTGCAGGCGGGCACTCCCGAAAAGTTCAGGAGCGCTCTCTCCAACCGCGTTCTGACCGCTCTCCAACTTTTTCAAGACAATGGGTTTGGAGAGTAGGTGTGGCGATGCTTCCCCTCCTGAAAACCCCATTTTCGGGATAGGTGTGGCGAGGCCCATTCTCATTTTGTGCATTTGGTGAGTACGTGCGGCCAGGCCTATACTCACACTACCCGTAGGCCCTCACAGCTGTGGTGCTAACCTACCCCATGGGCTGGGGAGAGATCCGGGTTGGTTGGTTCCCCCGTACTATACATACATAGACTACCGTAGTTAGTGAGAGAATGAGATAGACGCTTACTACCAAGAAAGATGAAATGCAGAAGCAGGCTAGCCTAATGTGTCTTCAATCGTTGTTGGCGACAGCTTCAGTGAGCTGGCTTGCTTCGAAAGGGCTGGAGATATCGGAAGTCTGTCCCAGATGTCAGTGGGGCTGGGAGACCACCAACCACCTATGGTTATACTGTCCCTTGTCGTTACAGTTGTGGGACTGGTGGAAAGGGCACTGGCAAATAATTTCTAATGCAGAATTTTTCTGGTCCCAGGAGTGGATTCTGTTTGCCAGTTGCCCGCCTGGGACGGATCTTGCAACTGGTTGGGGGTACGTTGCACTTGTGTGTAGAGGTGTGTTGATGGAGGTCATATGGAAAGCAAGAAACAAGGCTTGCTTTAAACAAGAAATGTCGACATGTGCAGAGTTGATTGCCATTACCAAAAACTTGATTAGGCTCGCCATTAGGGCCGATTGGCAGCTTTCTAAATCCCACCAGAGAAAAGGGCGGGCCTGGTTTGGTAATACCTGGGCTAAGGAGGGTGCGTTGGTTTCAATTTCTTCAGATTTCAAACGGCAGTTTTGCAGATGGCTATTGTCGAGCTAAAATGTTAGATCTT